TTAGTTGTTATTGTTTGAAGTTGTTTCTATGGAAACAACATGACGGAGAAAAAATTAATATCTTCTACATATAATAACGGAAAAGTAAAGAATGAAGTGTAGGCTATGCCTGTTTGAAGTTGTTGCTAAGGAAACAACATGACGGAGAAAAAAGTATAATCTTCTACATATAATAACGGACAAAGTAAAGAATGAAGTGTCGGCTATGTTTAAATGTTCGGAATTTGACCGTGATGGCCCTCTTGAGTTGCCGTAAAATATGACGAATATGACGGACGACGGATGCGACGGAAATACACCCGAACATATCTGGTAGCCCGAACATATCTGGTACTGACACCGGCCCGTCTCTCCCCCATTCTCATTGAGTACTTTACAAAGAGTGAAACAGCGCCCCTCTAGATGTTATGGTGAAACAGTAGATTGCACTCACTGTTGCGAGAGGAGGCCAGCCGAATCTGGCTTCCCTTGGTGAAAACAAATTGAGGGATTGACCAATCAGATGAGGCTCACGTGATGCCCCTGCCAACCTGTGATTGGTCAGGGCCATGCCAAGGGAAGCCAGAGGCGGCTGGCTTCCCTTGCCTCACAATCCAATCAAATCGCATCAACTTAGTGTTGCAGTGACGCGTCCTAAAATCCGGAAGTAAGCTGCGCTCGGTTTCCCTCGACAAAAAAGCAACAGGATTTCTCCATAGGATTTAGGAAAATAGCTCGAAATAAGGTCAGTGGAAAACGAACCTGTTAGATAAATGCACGTTGTGTTCAGTCGGATAATATTCACATGTCTACCCTAATTTTCGAATCATAAATCTAATCGATAGAAGATAGATAGCGTCACTGCATCACTCTCACCGCCGTTAGAAAGTAGCAAGCAACCGAAGCAAGTGCAATTATGGAGGGTGAAGATTTGGAGTATTTCATCAAAAATAATTGTACTAAACTTCCGCTACAGCAACAAGAAATACAATCTGATGACGGGCCGATGCCCAAACTGGAGCTGTGTACAGCGAGGAAAAAAGGAACGAATCGGACGTAAAACATTAAAGGTATCCTGATTTAGTTTGTGAATGAATGCTTATTAGAGTTTCGGCAGGAGAGTGCATGCGGACCTGTCGGTTAGATAACAGGCGTGTGTAAGTCCTGCATCGTATGATACAAATGTGTGTAAATTGATACCGGGTGCTGTAATCACTCATCTGGTTACGTTATTACATTGACCACCACACCCCCGACCCAAAAGAAAGGACGTATTATTGGCTTCCCCTCATTTTTTTCCCACGCCACGCTACTGGTAGCGAGTAAAACTCTTTTCCATTGTTTGCTTCCTGGGTTCTGTGACGTGTGAACACCCAGATGGACCAATCCTTGGAGCTCCTCCCACACCAGGATCCCTTGGCTAACTAACAGGGAGTCCCATTGACTTGCATAGAGCTCCCTGGACGCTGGTAATAGACGAGTTGGGATGGCGGAGCTCCGCAGACCCATTCTCACAGCGTTACAAACCTTTTTCTTTCTCAATATCAAGCCACACTTATTGTTTTTACTTTGGCTGTGAGTGTGTGTGTGCTCAGGATGAGTTTAGCTTGTTCTCGCTGTATCGCTGACCCGGAAACCTGTCCGCTCCTCGCAGCAATGGGCCTCGCAACGTCCCGACCAATCAGAGCACACTGGGCTCACAGGGAGGGGGGGGGGCAGGAGCTCCAACAAGGCGTGTAGGACAGAGAGTGAATACACAGACTATCAGAGATGCTGTGAGAAACCAATGTGAGTTTGGAACATTGAACAATGGAAATCTATTCTAGTCGACCTCAACGATGGAACTATGATCAGTAGAAATGGCCATGACATGGGACCTTTAAATCACGTCTGTTGAATCGTGTTTTTACCGAGTGAACCGACCACATTATAATCCTGTAACACTTTGTCTGATCCTCACATTGCAATCTGAGTTAATCATAATGAATAAAGACATGCCTACGTTGCCTTTTTGAGTCTTCAGTCCATTAAAATCCAAACAGAGACGAGAGACATGTCCTGTCTTTGTGTCTGAAGTCTTCAGAGCTGCAGGAGCACAGGTGGAGGTGCTGAGGTGTTTCAACAGCACGTCTACAGCAATCTGAGGAGCGTTTGTTTAGCTCACGTCCTCAGTTAATACATCTCAGAGTGAATCATATGGTTGCAGATTTACAGGAGAGAGAAGGGTGGTTTCGTGGTTTGTCCTATTCACTTACAGGTCTGATATATTTAATGTAAAGTGCTTTGAGCATTTGGAAAAGCGCTCTAATAAATGTAATGAATTATTATTATTATTATTATCAAACAGGATTAGTTGCAGTTTGATACAGTTATGGTTGGTCACATCTCTGATAAGCGTTGTCCTGTCAATAGTGCGCTGGTTCAATCCCAGCTGCAGTCAGCATGTCGTTGTGTTCCTGGGCAAGACACATATTTATTAGGTTTGCAACGGTTTCTCTTGGTGTTGGTCCGTGTTTGTAATATTATAATGTATGCATTTATCATTGTGTGATCCCTATGGGTTAGTGGAGCTTTGATTATTCAGATCACAATGTTGTGCACGTTAAAATGAGCTGATCATTGCTCTTCACCTGCTGACCCACGACTGCACCTCCACCTACTGCTGCAACACTTCTGAAGTTTGCAGAACACAATGGACTTTGACTTTTATGATCGTTATCGGATGAAAATGACTTCGTAAACGGTTGGCTGCCATCCAGCTTTCACATTTGTCAAGATAAGTTAATGGTTGGATCCCAAATAGAATAGAATAGAATATATGTTTGTAGTCATCATACAAAGTACAACGACATTTCTTTGGCAACTCTCACCGCCTACAGAAAGGGATAAAGGCCAATCAAAACAAGGGAGAGGTGATTTTTAACCTTTGAACAACTACTCAAGTTTCACAGGTATCCTCACTGTTTACCAGAGGCCTGTACTACGAAGCAGGATGTTCTCTTAGCGGCTAACTTCAGGGAAAACTCGGGGGTTCCGGTCCTACGACGCTGGTTCTCTTTTTAGCGGGCTAGATCTCCATGGTAACTGATGCTGAGCGGCTAACCTGCCCCGGAGCAGGTTAGGTTGCAGGCTAAGAGATCAACTCAGTGAAAGCACCGCCTGCTGACCAATCAGAGCTCAGTGTGCGGAGTTTAAAGTGATCAAGTCATATTACAGGAGAAAGGAAATACAGAAAAGCTGCCGTCGCAGGAAAGACAGCCGGCAAAAATCACCGACTGTGTGAACGTGAACATTAATAGAATATCACCTCCATCTTCAGAGCAATCTGACTATTATAACATTAGCGTTAAGAAAGCTTACTTAAAGTGGACCTATCATGCTATATTTGACAAATATATTGTAGGGCCATACCTATATAAAACATGTCTGTGAAGTTTGTTTTTCAAAATACCAAACAGATCCTGCATTTTAGCCATGCCTCATTTCGCTCTATTTGCTCTTTTCCAGCCCTGTTTTTGCAGGGGCTGATTCTGGGACTTAGCTTTAATGCAAATGAGTTGCAGCTGACCACGACCCCCTGCAGGAGGGGGGAGCGTGCATTGAGATCAGCTGCTGGGCTGTCAGAAGAGGGGGAGGAAAAGAGATCTCCGTCCTCCGTGTTTTCTACTATGATTATATAGAGTCGTTATTCATTTGTTTTAAAGCTCAATAAATAACAAAGTAGCACTTTTCTAATTTTGTCCGGAAGATTTAAACTTTAACGGGCATGTTGACCGGCGAAAAAAATCTAACTGAAACTCTGCTGCACGGTCCCCTCGTTCCTTGGAAGAGGCGGAGAGATGGGTGTTTGTCATCTGCTGGTGGCAAACCGGAGAGAATTACAGCGAGGGAGGGATTGCATTGAATAACAGCAGCGGGAGCAAACGCTTGCCTCGGGGAGGGAGAAAAAGAGCCACAGCGGAGAATAATCAGAAGGGCAACCATGGCAACCATGCGCGGGAAGTCTTCTTCGCTGCTTTTTGGCAGACTACAGCGCCACTTACAGGCCTGGCATATGTACTACAGCGTCTCCAGCGCTTTCGAGCGGCAATGGCCGGCCGTGGCCCAACCCCACATTCCCCTGATAGGTGGAGAGTTGGCCAAATAGGCGGAGCTCCCCGTTTCTGACGTCAGAACAATTTCAAATCCGTATCAGCCCCGTTTTTAGAGGGTATGGAGGAAAAGAGAGAGGGTTGTGTTTTCTGACACTTGGTGAGTTCCCCGACACACATATTCATGTATAAAAGACGTACAAAAGTGCATTTTGCATGATAGGTCCCCTTTAAATATCTGCCACAACATAAGTAACCAGATCAAAGTAACATTACGTAGCCTAGAGTCCGCGGCACTGAGTGCAGACGTTGATGTGTCCCATTATTATTCATATCACATAATGTATCATATTTCCTTATCTGAGTCAGCTTCTTGAGCCGTATCTGGCCGTGCAACACTGTGTCACATACATACTTTCATGAAGTATGACGCTTCTCCATGTCTGTGATTGGTCAAAGGTCAAGTTTGGTAGGGTTAAGAGAAATCAAAGATATCCAGGATCTGTTGAACTTCAAGAAAGAACAGGTTGGGAACCATTGTTTTAAAACAAAGAAAATACGTAAAGAGACAAATGTCTTTTTTGAACGTTTCTTTCAGTTATTTTTAAAATACAACACTCGTCTTTTCTGATATTTTCAAAGTACTAGTATACTTGTTTTTCTCCCAAAACACAAGTATATCGATTTTCTCTCATATTTCCGACATACTAAAGCGTAGTTTGTTGAAAATATGATAGAAAACGACGAAGCAAAAGCCTATATTTATTTAGCGGGTGGACCAACATTGGCAAAAGTCAAGGTTCAGTTTGTTGAGGATACAGACAGACGAACTGAAAACACATTTCTAGTCCAACAAATATCCGTGCTTACAGCAAATTATAGTTTAAAACAACAAGTACTTTTCTTAAGAAACAAGGAGACGACACCACAAACTTTTAATCATTTATTTAACCGCATAGAAAAATCCAGCACAGACAACAACAGCCTTTTGTTCGGTACGTCAGTGCTTCTGAAACTGAAGATAGACAGACGATAAAAAGCAGCAAACGTAAGGCACTAAATCTCTACTGAGTGTTTAGAATTTATCATGAGAAAGAAAAATAAACCGAAAAACAAGACAAATGGAAACCCGCATCAACGAGACAAACGGACGATTAAAACAACATTTAAAGAAAGTCCGCAGAGCTTGTATTTGTCCGACTCTTCTAACCCGAGTCCTGAGGGATTTGATGAGGCCTTTTAAAGCTTCTCTTTGCTTCCAGCAGAAGTGCAACGCTAAACTTGGTTTATGCTTTTAGCTGAATTATTGTTTAAAGTTGTACGAGGCACTATAACAGATAGCGATCAGCCGTTTGTAGAAAGATAAAGCTGTGAAGCTATAACAAAAAGAGGGTTAGCTTAGCACAAAGACTGGGAACAGCTAGCCTGAAAAGAAAAGGAGAATATCCAGAGTACTGTCGTCCGATTGGCTGAAAACTAGTAACCTCTATCCAAGCCCCGCCCCCTGCGGGAGGAGCTAAACGGAACATAGTCAAACCCCGCCTCCGCCACGCATCATTATCTAGCTTAGCTTTGCACAAAGACTGGAAACAGTTGGATACTCAGAAAAAAAAATATTAAAAAAAATAAGAATGTCCAGTGTCCTGTCCTCTGATAGGCTGAGAACTAGTATCCTGTACTCTGGTTGGCTGAGAACCAGTATCTTCTCTCCCGGCCACGCATCCTTATCTAACTTAGCTTAGCACAAAGACTTGAAACAGGTGGAAACAGCTAGCATGGCTCTGAAAAGACGGGGGAAAAAGAAAAAGAATGTCCAGTGTCCTGTCCTCTGATTGGCTGAGAACTATTGTTGGCCCCGCCCCATGTGGGAGGAGTTAAACTGAACATAGTCAAACCCCGCCCCCACAACGCCTCCTTGTCTCCGTCGTTGCGCCCCCCTCCCTGAGTCATGGCCCCCCCTTCCTCTCCCCCCTCTCCAACTTCTCCCTCGCCCCCTGTGGTTTAAGGTCTGGGGTTTAAATGCCACCTCCCCCCATTGGTCCTCGGTGCTGCAGCCAACCGAAAGAGACTCCGCCATGGCAACGGTCGTCGGGCGTCCACTGGAACCCACGACTCCATAGGGCCACTTCCTGTTGCCGTGGTAACTGCGGGGCGTGTTGACGTTGTCCCCGGTGATCGTCGTCTTGGAGATGTCAAAGTGCGACGGAGAGCCGGGGTTTCTGGAGCCGTCGGGGTTCGAGAGCAACTTCATCTGAGAGGAGGATTACAATGTTATAAATACTAGCAAAACAAATGTAACTACTACGAGACATTATTTTACTATTAGAACACATCTTCTCTACTTTGACAAGGATTAACACATTTTACTACAACTACTACTAAGACTGTTACTACTACAACAACAACTACTACAACAACAACTACTACAACAACAACTACTACTTTTACTACAACTGTCCATAGTAATCTTCCTGTCACTATAAAGGGATGTAACAACTAAAACAAACGTAAAACAACAAATATTAATACTAGTGAAATGTTACAATTTGAACAAATATATATTAGGCCTCAAAGAAGAGTCACTGGTACGTGTTTTTACCACTAAATCAACTATTCCAGGTGTGAAATGGTAAATAAAACAGAGTACTCACTATAGGGTTGTTGTTGAGGGGGGGGGTCCACCAGCAGCACGGCTCGCTGCAGACTGTCTCCACGGTCCTTCTTATGGCCTGATGGGAAACATTAAAAATACTAGACGTTAGCATCAAAAGAATAACAGTTTGAAGACTACATTACCCAGAAACCCTTTGTGCTGTTGCTTAATAATTAACACCAAACATTAAGGGATTCTCAACATTGTTTTTAGACTTATAAACTGACTTATAGACTGAACATTTACTCAAGTACTGTGTTTAAGTATTTTGGGTAACGTGAGCAAAACTCCTGTATGTGTCGTCTAATGCCAAGAACAGAATAATATAATATCCTTTAAATATAATTCTACTTTGTATACTTGAGTACATTTAGCTGATAATACTTTTACTTCAGTAACATTTTGAAGTTGTAATAGAGTATGTTGAGAGTGCAGTAATAGTACTTTTACTTCAGTAAGGATGTGAGTACCACCTCTGATAAACGTACCATATCCAGAAACCACCACTTGTATGTTGGGGTTAGCATTAGCCACGTTAGCAGCAGCCGGACCCTCCAGAGGAGCAGGGACTCGGCACGGACCCTGGCCCTGGATTTTGTCTCCGTTTGTGGGTTGACGCTGCTCTGTGACCCCCTGGAGCTCCTCCGATGGGGGGGTCTGGTGAGAGGAGGGGGGGTACGGAGGGTAGGGTTGGGGGTAACCCTGACCCCGATATGATGCATTCTGGGGGGGATAAGCGTGCGTGAAGCTGGGGTTTCTGGGTAGGGGAACCTGGTGTTGTTGCCATTGTTGTTGTTGGTGTTGGGGAGGGGGAATGGAGGCTGGAGAGGGAGGAAAGGGAGGCTGAAGAGGGTAGGTTTCCTGGGGTCTGGAGGGGGGGAACTGGGGGGGAGGAGAGGGGGAGGGGGAGGGAGGTTTGGGGTTCAGCTGGTAGGTTTGTTGAAGGGGAAGGAGGTATAAGTAGGGGGGGCACAGGGGGTGGGAGTAGGCCTGCAGAGAGAGAGGAGGGGTCAGAGTCTGTGTTCAGTACCAAAAGAAAGCTTGTTTAGAATTTGATTAACTCAGAAAATAAAACCCTCTCTCTTTTCCTTCGTACCCAGATCTCTAAAAACGGGGCTACAACGGAGCTGATCCAGATTTGCGTCCAATATGACGTCATTACTAAAATGTGGGCGGGCTTTACCCCCACGGGCAATCAGAAACGTTGCTGTCAGAAACAATGAGACGTGTTTTGGACGTAATATGGTCGGTGTTTACATTAGCATGCTAACACTCAGAGCTAACCTGTACTGGAGAGCATGTGTGGTGTTTGTTTTTTTTTCAAGCTACTGACCCAGAATCAGCATTTTTCTAACAGGGCTGAAATAGAGGGATATGAGGCATGGCTAAAATGCATGATCTGTTTGGTATTTTTTGCAAAACACTTCATAGACATGTTTTTATATATATCTGAGAGCCATATGTCTTAAACTTGTGTAATCAGAGACCTTCAATATTGACGCTGTTGCAGTGACATGTTTATTCTGTTGACTCACCTTGATGCCCAAGTTGAAGAAAAACTTCAGGATGTTGACATCTGCGGAAAAAAATAATCAGAAATAATCTTTAACGCGTCGGAGCCGGTGTGAAAGATGTGATTTAGGGAAGTTTGTTTTATACAAAACACACATCTGCTCACCTTTAGGAAGATCCTCCCCCGTTCTGCTGGAGGAGAGGGGGGGAGTCGGAGCCGGATCTCCCGTCTCCCCCTCGGGGAAGCCGGGGTACAGAGGGTCCTCGTAGATATGGGAGTACTGGAAGGGGTGAGGAGCGGGAGGGAGAGAGGAGTCTGGGTGAGACTGGGAGGGAGGGGGAGGAAGATGAGGGTGAGGAGGGGGAGTTTGAGAAGAGGGGTGAGAGACAATATGAGAAGGAGACTCTGGGTGAGAATGAGGAGGTAAAGAGTGAAGCTGGGGGTGAGGAAAGGGAGTTTGGGAGAAAGGGAGAGAAGCTTGTGGGTGAGAAAAGGGAGCAAGAGGAGAGTCTGAATGAGGCTGGAAGTACTGGGAGGGGTGAGGAAGATGTGGGTGAGGAGAGGGAGAGTGAGTTTGGGAGGGAGGGAGAGAAGGTTGTGGGTGAGAGTCTAAGTGAGACTGGAAGTACTGGGAGGGATGAGGAGGGGGAGAGGGGTGAGACTGGGAGGGAAGGAGAGAAGGTTGAGGGTGAGAAAAGGGGTGAGAGTCTGAGTGAGACTGGGAGTAATGGGAGGGGGGAGGAAAGGAGTGAGGAGAGGGAGACGGAGAGTGAGTTTGAGAGGGAGGGAGAGAAGGGTGAGAGTCTGAGTGAGACTGGGAGTAATGGGAGGGGGGAGGAGGGTGAGAGATAGTATGAGAAAGAGACTCTGGGTGAAACTGGGTGAGGGAGAGAGAAGGTGCAGACTGGGAGTAATGGGAGGGGTGAGGAAAGGGGTGAGGAGAGGGAGAAGGAGAGTGCGTTTGGGTGGGAGGGTGAGGAAGATTTGGGTGAGAAAAAGGAGCAAGAGGAGAGGGGTGAGAGTCAGAGTGAGACTGGGAGTAATGGGAGGGGGGAGGAGGGGGAGAAAGAGACTCTGGGTGAGACTGAGGAGGAAAAGAGTGAAGCTGGGGGTGAGGAAAAGGGTGAGGAAGGTGAGAGGGATGGGGTGGATTCTGGGAGGTAGAGAGAGAGGGGTGAGGATGGGTGAGAGAGGAAGAGACAGGAAGTGGGGTGTGGGAGATAATGGGAGGGAGAGAGGACAGGGACTGGGAGAGATCAGACTGGGAGCTGGGGAGATACTGGAGGGTTTGGGGGAGAGAAGTCTGGGTTTGGGGGAGATACTGGAGGGTTTGGGGGAGAGAAGTCTGAGTTTCTGGGAGAGAAGTTTGGGTTTGGGGGAGATACTGGAGGGTTTGGGGGAGAGAAGTCTGAGTTTCTGGGAGAGAAGTCTGGGTTTGGGGGAGATACTGGAGGGTTTGGGGGAGAGAAGTCTGAGTTTCTGGGAGAGAAGTCTGGGTTTGGGGGAGATACTGGAGGGTTTGGGGGAGAGAAGTCTGAGTTTCTGGGAGAGAAGTTTGGGTTTGGGGGAGATACTGGAGGGTTTGGGGGAAGGAAGAAGTCTGGGTTCGGGGGAGAGAAGTCTGAGTTTGGGGGAGAGAAGTTTGGGGGAGAGAAGTCTGAGTTTGGGGGAGAGAAGTCTGGTTTTGGGGGAGAGAAGAAGTCTGGGTTTGGGGGAGAGAAGAAGTCTGGGTTTGGGGGAGAGAAGAAGTCTGGGTTTGGGGGAGAGAAGAAGTCTGGGTTTGGGGGAGAGAAGAAGTCTGGGTTTGGGGGAGAGAAGAAGTCTGAGTTCGGGGGAGAGAAGTCTGGGTTTGGGGGAGAGAAGTCTGAGTTTGGGGGAGAGAAGAAGTCTGGGTTTGGGGGAGAGAAGTCTGGGTTTGGGGGAGAGAAGTCTGGGGGAGAGAAGTCTGGGTTCGGGGGAGGATCTGTGATGCGTTCAGGAGCCCTCCGAGATTTGGAAGAGAATCTGAAAAGAGAAAAAATCTGAGTCAGAAAACATGAAAAATATATTGAAATACGTTTAGAGCAAAGAGGAGATAAATGAAAAGACTACATATTAAACAAAGTCTAATAAATACTCAAGATAATAAAAGAGAGGTGACATTAAGATTCTGAGATGGACCAATCAAACAATGACTAGTTTTACTTTTGGTACTTTAACTATATTTTGATGATGATACTTTTCTACTTTTACTTGAGGAACATTTTGACTCAAGTACAAGATCTGAGTACTTCTACTTTTACTCAAGCACAAGATCTGAGTACTTCTATTTTGACTCAAGTACAAGATCTGAGTACTTCTACTTTTACTCAAGTACAAGATCTGAGTACTTCTACTTTTACTCAAGTACAAGATCTGAGTACTTCTACTTTTACTCAAGTACAAGATCTGAGTACTTCTACTTTTACTCAAGAACAAGATCTGAGTACTTCTACTTTTACTCAAGTAGTAGGAGAAGACGACAGCCTTCACGTGGCCTCCTCTGTGAGTAGCAAGAGATGGTGCAAGACCAACTTGCGAAACGAATGTCACCAACCAAACGTCGAGCTGGTAGCCCTAGGAACGGAGGACGGGCAGTCATCCCGACCGTCGATAACCGAGGCCGGGCAGTGCTTCAACTCAATGTCGAGGGCCTAACCACCGCCAAACTCGAGGTTGTGCGTCACCTGGCTGATTCCAATGGGGCAGCGGCTGTGCTCCTGCAGGAGACGCACTGCACATCCGGTAACACCCTTAAGATCCCTGGGTTCCATCTCGCTGGGTCCATCCACAGCAAGCAACACGGTGTGGCAACCTTCGCCAGGACTGAAATAAGCTGGTCAGCCAGTAGCCAATCCCCACCAGGCACTAACATCGAGTGGCTGGTTACTAAAATCCAGGAAACATCAGTCATCAACGTATACAAGCCCCCACCATGAGAGCTGTCTGCGACGTCACTCCCGTCAGTAACTGCACCCGCCATCTATGCAGGGGACTTCAACTGTCAGCACACAGACTTGGGTTACAAACACACAACACTGATGCCTTGCTACTGTACGACCCCAAGGAGCCTTCAACCTTCTTCTCTGCACGCTGGAACACCTCCACCAACCCGGACCTGGGCTTCGCCATCTGCCGCAGTAACGACCCGAAACCGGAAAGACGCGCCCTGGACAGGTTTCCCCGCTCACATCACCGACCGGCCATCATTACAATTCCAGCACTGGTGCAACCGGTACCAGGGAAACCTGTCAAACGATGGAACTTTCGAAAGGCCAACTGGGAGTCGTTTGTTGAGGAGATGGCAAGAAGGTCAGCTGGTCTGCCAGACCCAGAGGCAGTCAACGCGGACGCGGCCTACGCAGCCTACTGCGGGGTCCTCCTGGGTGCGGCAAAGAAGACCATTCCACGTGGCTATAACAGGAACTACATCCCGGGTTGGGACGAGGAGTGCAGCCGTCTTCTGTGTGACCACCAGAGGGCTAGCTCCAGAGAAGAGGTGGACGTGACTGCAACAGCACTGCTCCAGAGGCTGGACGTCACCCGCAGGACCAGATGGACAGAAGTTGTCGAATCAATCGACTTCACCCACTCTAGTCGTAAGGCGTGGCAGACCATCAACCAGCTTACAGGCAGAAATACAACGCCCCCCAGGTGCCCAGTCACAGCTGATGCCATCACATCTCAGCCCATGAAGAACGGCCGCTTCCCAGACGCAGACAAAGACTTCGCCTGACTGACATCGCGTGAGGTGTCTTCCATCTTGGGAGCGGACAGTGTCGATTCCAACCTCTCAGGAGACTTTACAGCAGAGGAACTCAGTGAGGCCATAAGTAAGCTCAAGCCAGGCAAATCTCCGGGCCGCGACAACATCCACCCGGAGTTCGTCACCCCCCAGAGCACAACAACATCTGGCTGGCTCTGTGCATTCTTCTCGTCGTGCTACCGGAGGGCAAAGCTCCCAAAGACCTGGCACCGCGCCTCCGTCATAGCTCTGCCGAAGCCAAATAAACCTGGGGACGGTTCTCTCGCCGATGCTGTTCAACATATATGTACACGACCTACCTGACACATCATCCAGAAAGTACGGCTATGCAGACGATCTAGCCATCATGCTGAGACCAACCAACATGGAAGGCGATGGAAGATGGCCTTAACGACGACATGGGCACCCTGGTAGCATACTTTCAAAGGTGGCGTCTACAGCTCAACATCGGAAACACAGTAGCAGCGGCATACCATCTTAGCACCAGAGAAGCTAGGAGGGAACTTGAGGTGCGCCCCAATAACAAACATCTGGAGGTCCAGCAAGCCCAGAAGTACCTCGGCGTGCGTCTGGATCGGACACTGTCCTTCAAACAACACCTTGAAGAAGTCAAAGCCAAGGTAACATCAAGGGTCGCGCTGATCCGCCGCCTCGCTGGAACAACCTGCACTTATGGCGCATTTCCACTGCAACGGGGTAGCCCCGTTTAAGCGTCCCTAAGCGTCCTTGCTCAGGCCTCGGGCTGCCTCGCTGGCCGTCCGAGGCCGTGGCGCATTTCCATTACAGTTTAGGACCTGGGGTAGCAACGCAGTGTAGGCGGGGCGATCGGCTTTGTTTTTGTTCACATTTCGAGTTGTTCCGTCGAGCTCCCGCTGGATGTGATCATCCCCAATGAGATGAAGGAACGTCATCACCTCCTCGGTCGACCACGGTGTGCTTTTCTTATTAGACGTAGCCATTTTGTTGCTCCTCCGTTTACAAAATGCTGTTTATAAAAATGCTGCAAGCTTGCTTCTAAATATATATGCGACGCTAGGGATGAACTCGCGCGCAATCTTGTGACGATTCTCTCTGACCAATCAGCAGTCGAGAGTGTTGACGTCACTAGTTCAGCCCTGGCCCTGGTCTGAGGGAACCACGATTTTATGAGGCCGGAAAAAGAGGGAAAAAGTACCCACTAGCCGGTACTAGGCTATATGGAAACGCCACCAAAAACTGGCCTGGCCGCTTGAGGACGGTTAAGGACGCTTAAACGGGGCTACCCGCTGCAGTGGAAATGCGCCATAAGATGCTGCGATTATCAACCCAAGTCCTGGTCTTCTCTGCTGCGGAATACTGCGCCCCAGCATGGAGCAGAAGCCCTCACGCAAGTAAGGTTGACGTGGTCATCAACAACGCCCTCCGGATTATAACTGGATGCTTGAAGCCTACCCCTGTGTCCCTCTTGCCAGTCCTCGTAGGAATAGTTCCGGCCGGCCTCCGACGGGAGGCTGCCACCCTCTTCCTGGCCAAGAAAGCCCAAAAGCATGACTGGCACATCCTGCATAACACGACAACGACAGCAGCGTCTCTAAGTAGGCTCAAGTCCTGCCTCCCCTACAACAAGGCAGCACAAGAGATGCTCAATTCCACCTCTGTGGACCTCTCCAGAGATGCATGGTTGGCGGCTGCTTGGAAGCAGGAGTGGGAGCTAGCCGGGCCCTCCCGCATCCATAGCAGGAGACGACCTACCACGCCGGCAATGGACCACACTAAACCTACAAACTGGGGTCGGTCGCTTCAAAACATCAATGAAGAAGCGGGGCCTGGCAGGCAGTGCTACATGCGAGTGCGGTGACCCTAGACCAGCCTCTGAAGCCAGCCTCTTCGACTTAGGACTCGAGATGCGGGCATGGCTACACGACACCGAGTTGGACCTCTGACGTTACACGAAAGAAGAAGTACAAGATCTGAGTACTTCTCCCACCTCTGATTATTTGTATGTTGTGTACTAGATTATACATACATATACACACAGATTATACTTATGGTATTGTATGTGATTACTAAACACTTCTACTTTGTAGACAAGTTGACATGTACGCACCTAAATGCTGCGGAACAATAAGAATATTAATTGAAATAAATATATTAAAAAAAGAGAATGAGATAATTAACCTTCAATAATATAAAATAATAATAAACATAAATTAATATTATTTAAAGAGTTCACTGGACAGTTTTTTAAATATTAAATATCGCATTTGTGTGTTAAATATAAGTGAGAGTATTTTTACACATTTATGTACAATTTACTTTCTATAACAAATATTTTAAAAGTAAAAAATGTTAAAGGCATGTTTACACTCAATTCTGATGGTTTAGTTTTTAATTTAAGGCCATACAGTTACTGAATGCATCATTTTGACCATACAATATCTGAGTACTTCTACTTTTACTACAATATCTGAGTACTTCTACTACAACAAAGTATTTCAAACATCATTTTTACTTTTTGGGATCAATAATATAAATGAATCTTACTTTGAGCTGAAGCTGATGGAGCATCGTTTGCAGCCTGATGGGGGAGAGAGGGGGAGAAGAAGGAGGGAGGACTGGGAGCGATGGGAGCGATGAAGGTGGGAGGAGGTAGAGGAAGGGAGGAGGGTTTAGGAGGTGAGGAAAGGATGGAGGGGGAGGCAGAAGGGAGAGAAGGGGGGAGGAAGAGGGTGGCAGAGGAGGGGAGAGAAGGGGGGAGGAAGAGGGTGGCAGAGGAGGGGACGGAGGGAGGAGAGGGGGAGGTTGTTTTCTCAGTTTTCTCAACACAGGAAGTGGTTGTTTTCTCCGTGGCGGCCATCTTTAAATGGGGCGTTGAAGCCTTGATGGAGCCGAGCCGGGCTGGAGGGTTTGGGTCAGCAGAGGGTGTAGAAGTATTTGAAGTAGTAGTATTTGTAGAAGGAGATGCTAAAGGAGGAGTGGTGGATTTGGGTCGTTCTCCAGCAACGTCTTCCACAGGACTCTTCTAGAAAAACACAAACGAATATTTAGAGTTTTTATGAATTAAATACACATGTTTTTGATTTTTTAAATGGTTTCAGACTTTATACGAATCAACATCATGATGAAGGTTTCTCAGCATTCTTTTTAAACTGTGTACCTGAAATAAATTACAGCGAAACATGTTTATGTTGGGGTCTTAACGCCGAAGCAAACAAGATGAATTTAATGCAAAATTAATGCTTTTAAACACAAGTTAGCCCTGGGTCAAACGAACATATCTAATCATCTAAAATAAACAATTTAAGAAAAGTGGATTTATTGACTCTAAAATGAGTAGTTTAACTGATTCTAGAGTTATGCTTTTGTGTCTAGAATAATTTACGTACCGTGTTGGTCCTCTGATATCTCTTCCTCTCGACTCCCTTCTTCTTCCCTCCATCAGCCGACGCCTGAGCCTGAGGAGGAAAGCAAATCATATAATAACAATATAACAGATTAATAATCACTAAAAACAGAAAGACTGCAGCTTTTCTTCTGACAGAGAACCAGCTTTCCCCCCGACTCACCCCCAGTGCCGGGAAGCTGTGTTCGTCTCTCAGCTGAATCTCCACTAACGCCACGTTCCTCTCCTCTTCCTCTCGAGCCAACCGCTGCGTCTCCGTCAGACCGAACGCCGCCTCCAGCGAGCTCACCGACTTCCTGTCAGGAAACACACACATGAGGGTCTTAGGACTCACGACAGGGTCTTAGGACTCACTACAGGGTCTTAGGACTCACTACAAGGTCTTAGGACTCACACCGACAGGGTCTTAGGACTCACGACAGGGTCTTAGGACTCACGACAGGGTCTTAGGACTCACACCGACTCACGACAGGGTCTTAGGACTCACGACAGGGTCTTAGGACTCACACCGACTCACGACAGGGTCTTAGGACTCACGACAGGGTCTTAGGACTCACAACGACTCACGACAGGGTCTTAGGACTCACGACAGGGTCTTAGGACTCATGACAGGGTCTTAGGACTCACAACGACTCACGACAGGGTCTTAGGACTCACGACAGGGTCTTAGGACTCATGACAGGGTCTTAGGACTCACGACAGGGTCTTAGGACTCACACCGACTCACGACAGGGTCTTAGGACTCACGACAGGGTCTTAGGACTCACACCGACTCATGACAGGGTCTTAGGACTCACGACAGGGTCTTAGGACTCATGACAGGGTCTTAGGCCTCACACCGACTCACGACAGGGTCTTAGGACTGATGACAGGGTCTTAGGACTCACACCGACTCATGACAGGGTCTTAGGACTCACGACAGGGTCTTAGGACTCATGACAGGGTCTTAGGACTCACACCGACTCACGACAGGGTCTTAGGACTCACGACAGGGTCTTAGGACTCACACCGACTCACGACAGGGTCTTAGGACTCACACCGACTCACGACAGGGTCTTAGGACTCATGACAGGGTCTTAGGACTCACACCGACTCACGACAGGGTCTTAGGACTCACACCGACTCACGACAGGGTCTTAGGACTCACGACAGGGTCTTAGGACTCACACCGACTCATGACAGGGTCTTAGGACTCACGACAGGGTCTTAGGACTCATGACAGGGTCTTAGGACTCACACCGACTCACGACAGGGTCTTAGGACTCACGACAGGGTCTTAGGACTCACACCGACTCATGACAGGGTCTTAGGACTCACACCGACTCACGACAGGGTCTTAGGACTGATGACAGGGTCTTAGGACTCACACCGACTCACGACAGGGTCTTAGGACTCACACCGACTCACGACAGGGTCTTAGGACTCACACCGACTCATGACAGGGTCTTAGGACTCACGACAGGGTCTTAGGACTCATGACAGGGTCTTAGGACTCACACCGACTCACGACAGGGTCTTAGGACTCACGACAGGGTCTTAGGACTCACGACAGGGTCTTAGGACTCATGACAGGGTCTTAGGACTCACACCGACTCACGACAGGGTCTTAGGACTCACGACAGGGTCTTAGGACTCACACCGACTCATGGCAGGGTCTTAGGACTCACGACAGGGTCTTAGGACTCATGACAGGGTCTTAGGACTCACACCGACAGGGTCTTAGGACTCACGACAGGGTCTTAGGATTCATGACAGGGTCTTAGGACTCACACCGACTCACGACAGGGTCTTAGGATTCATTTGTGTTTAAAATCATTAATATCCAAATGTTTTTGGATAAGAAAACACATGCTTGACTTTTGCGTGCTTCAATCTGCATCGCCCTCACGTTATCTACGTTATCCAAGTTTTTATCTCGTTGATCTGTTTTTTGTTTCAGTAATGCACGGCTGGGTTTGATGTCTTACAATGCTGACTCCTTTCCACTTGTTAAGACTCATGATGGTGACTGATATCAGGGTTTCATGACTCACTCCTGATCCTCCCTCTCCACACACTGACCTTGCAGCCTTGCTCTCGTCTACGGTGGCCTGCGGGGGCCATGAGTTTTGCTTTAACACACGCCCGATGGGGCCCGGTGCCGTCGTCTGGGAAACAGCAGAAGAAGAAGAAGAAGAAGAAGAAGAGGAGGGGGCTGCTGGGAGATGTTTGCCTCTCCCTCTGCCTCTCCCCCGCTCCTCCCAATCTGAGGGGGAGGAAGAGAGAGATATCAGTTTTAGTGAAAGATAAAGTGCATTTGAAGTATTTTCATTTGAGAATTCCTTAGTTTTTGTTAATGAATTGATAAAAAAACAAAAGACAGAGACCAGAACAATCTGAGTAATACATCATGTTTCTGTGTGTGTGTGTGAGAGAGAGAGAGAGAGAGAGAGAGAGAGAGAGAGAGAGAGAGAGAGAGAGAGAGAGAGAGAGAGTGTGTGTACAAAACAGAAACCCATGGATAATTTGGTAGGTGGTTGTTAGGTGTGTGCATTAGTTCAAGTAGGTCTTAGTTACAGACATGGTGAGAGTGTGTGTGTGTGTGTGTGTGTGTGTGTGTGTACCTCCGTGTCCGTTGCTCAGTCTCTTGTCTCGGTTCACCACGGTGCTCCAGCTGTTCTCCTCAAAGGGCCGCAGAGACATCAGAGGAACCTGTCTGCACACATTGAGCATTTTATTTAGCATTTTATACCAAATCCAATGTATTTTTTTTAATCCAATTCTTATTCTTAAGGGTGTTTTATTTTCCATCTTATTTTCAATTAGCTATGAAATTATAACTTTGTTTTTTATGGATTATTTTCTGCGTTATAAATCACTTCGTGCAGACATTTATCAGCAGATTAATCCATTATGAAAATGCACAAGTCCAAAAACAGTTTATACTCGATGTAGTACTTTAACTCCAGTATCCGAGTACTAATATGTAATATTCCATTCTTCACATACTTATGTATATATTAGTGCTGTCAAAATTATCGCGTTAACGGCGGTAATGAATTTTTTGAATTAATTGCGTTAAAATATTTAACGCATTTAACGCATGTGCAGAATGGCTCGCTCCATACATCCACCAGTGGCAGCGCCAGGGTATGGCTGGGGTAGGCTACACCCATACCAAGAAATGGCTTAGCCCCACCATGAAAAATGATGTTAAAGGAAGCAAAATAAAGTCTGCCAACTCGCGCGGAGTAAATTGCACAGACAGCAGTTAGTCAGATTGATTTCAGTAGCCACGGTTTTGAAAACTTTTGTCATGTAGTGATCGTCTTCTCAATAGAACATCTTTGATAATGTCTCCTGGCCAATCAGAACCAAGATAACGGCGTGGTGTTGTTGCAGGAAGTCCCGACGGAGAATACTTTTGCTGTAGTACAGGGGTGCACATAACTGGTACGCAGGTTATGTGCGTAATCTGAAATGCGTACCGTCACTTGTGTCACAAAGCGCATTTGCGTACCGACGTACTTGTGAAGCTTTTCCAGAAGGCGGTTAGATCACCGGACGACAGAGTCGGTCTCCGTGTGCACAGATAGGGCTGCTGTTAACGTCGGTCTGTACAACGGACTTGTGCCAAAACTACGCCAACCGGCTGCGGAGGGAGACTCTCTCTCTCCCCCCCTTCACTGGAGAACTGAGCTAAAACAGCTGATCACAACGTTCACACTCTGTGGTCACGAAGTACTCCACTAGCCGCCCCCCTCTGTCGACTTTCCTGAAGTACTCCCCGTTGATAGAAATCAACACGTAATGAATTAAGACCCCACGGTTTGATGATTGATAGGTGTGTGGGCTGTCTTTCATTTTGACACACAGAAAAATGTTATAATAAACATAGATACTTTATGTTAAATGGATATATCCGCCTTCTTTCATTTATCTTTCCATTCCCAACAATATACATAAAGAAATGGCATATTTTGGACATAGTTCGAATGGTGATTAATCTGATTAATTAATTTTTAAGCTGTGATTAATCTGATTAAACATTTTAATCGTTTGACAGCCCTAGTTTAAATATAATATTTTGCTTTACACTTTGTTACTGTACATTTGTAATTCAACATGTATATTTTCTACTCTCTTTGGGATCAATAAAGTACTTCTGATCCGATCTGACTTCCTCCATCCCATAACTTACTTCCTGAGTCCCAGCTCTTCGATGTGAACCGTCACTTTGTCGTTGTTGGGAGGAACTTCTTTAATGGTCGCGTTGTAGCTCCGCCCACCTGTCTCCAGACGAACCTACACACACACACACACACACACACATTTTAATATATACAAACACCTGAGGAAGCAGGGTTTAACGAAGGACCCTCAACCAGAGAGGGCCAAAGTACACACATCCTGTACTCAAGTAGAAGTACAGATACTCGTGTTTAGAAGTACTCTGGTGAAAGTAGAAGTACTGACTAAACTTCTTTACTCAAGTCAAAGTAAAGAGACTTTGAAGTGTACTTCAGTAGAAAGTACCCATAACTCCCAGCTGCTTTAAAGAGTACCTGACCTCCCTTTATATCAATAGAACAATAATGTCATTGTTAGCTAATGAATGTTTCCATGCTGAACAACGGCAACATGACAACGTTTCCATTGGTCCCTCTTCTTTAGAGAAGACCAGCAAATGATGGATACACGGATCGTGTTCAAATCAATAGGCACGCAATGACTCTAAAGAATAATGATCACGCATCAAACACACATTCAGACTAAAGGAACCAGCTGTTTGGGAAATGAGAGAAGTAGAAAGTACAGGTATTTGAGTTCAACATGTAAGAAGTAGAAAGTACAGGTATTTGTGTTCAACATGTAAGAAGTAGAAAGTACAGGTATTTGTGTTCAACATGTAAGAAGTAGAAAGTACAGGTATTTGGGTTCAACATGTAAGAAGTAGAAAGTACAGATATTTGAGTTCAACATGTAAGAAGTAGAAAGTACAGGTATTTGTGTTCAACATGTAAGAAGTAGAAAGTACAGGTATTTGTGTTCAACATGTGAGAAGTAGAAAGTACAGGTATTTGAGTTCAACATGTAAGAAGTAGAAAGTACAGGTATTTGAGTTCAACATGTAAGAAGTAGAAAGTACAGGTATTTGAGTTCAACATGTAAGAAGTAGAAAGTACAGGTATTTGTGTTCAACATGTAAGAAGTAGAAAGTACAGGTACTTGAGTTCAACATGTGAGAAGTAGAAAGTACAGGTATTTGTGTTCAACATGTAAGAAGTAGAAAGTACAGGTACTTGAGTTCAACATGTAAGAAGTAGAAAGTACAGGTATTTGGGTTCAACATGTAAGAAGTAGAAAGTACAGGTATTTGAGTTCAACATGTAAGAAGTAGAAAGTACAGGTATTTGTGTTCAACATGTAAGAAGTAGAAAGTACAGGTATTTGTGTTCAAAATGTAAGAAGTAGAAAGTACAGGTATTTGTGTTCAACATGTGAGAAGTAGAAAGTACAGGTATTTGGGTTCAACATGTAAGAAGTAGAAAGTACAGGTATTTGTGTTCAACATGTAAGAAGTAGAAAGTACAGGTATTTGAGTTCAACATGTAAGAAGTAGAAAGTGCAGGTATTTGTGTTCAACATGTAAGAAGTAGAAAGTACAGGTATTTGAGTTCAACATGTAAGAAGTAGAAAGTACAGGTATTTGAGTTCAACATGTGAGAAGTAGAAAGTACAGGTATTTGTGTTCAACATGTAAGAAGTAGAAAGTACAGGTATTTGAATTCAACATGTGAGAAGTAGAAAGTACAGGTATTTGAGTTCAACATGTAAGAAGTAGAAAGTACAGGTATTTGGGTTCAACATGTAAGAAGTAGAAAGTACAGGTATTTGAGTTCAACATGTAAGAAGTAGAAAGTACAGGTATTTGAGTTCAACATGTGAGAAGTAGAAAGTACAGGTATTTGTGTTCAACATGTAAGAAGTAGAAAGTACAGGTATTTGAGTTCAACATGTAAGAAGTAGAAAGTACAGGTATTTGAGTTCAACATGTAAGAAGTAGAAAGTACAGGTATTTGTGTTCAACATGTAAGAAGTAGAAAGTACAGGTATTTGAGTTCAACATGTAAGAAGTAGAAAGTACAGGTATTTGTGTTCAACATGTAAGAAGTAGAAAGTACAGGTATTTGAGTTCAACATGTAAGAAGTAGAAAGTACAGGTATTTGTGTTCAACATGTAAGAAGTAGAAAGTACAGGTATTTGAGTTCAACATGTAAGAAGTAGAAAGTACAGGTATTTGTGTTCAACATGTAAGAAGTAGAAAGTACAGGTATTTGTGTTCAACATGTAAGAAGTAGAAAGTACAGGTATTTGAGTTCAACATGTAAGAAGTAGAAAGTACAGGTATTTGTGTTCAACATGTAAGAAGTAGAAAGTACAGGCATTTGAGTTCAACATGTAAGAAGTAGAAAGTACAGGTATTTGAGTTCAACATGTAAGAAGTAGAAAGTACAGGTATTTGAGTTCAACATGTAAGAAGTAGAAAGTACAGGCATTTGAGTTCAACATGTAAGAAGTAGAAAGTACAGGTATTTGAGTTCAACATGTGAGAAGTAGAAAGTACAGGTATTTGTGTTCAACATGTAAGAAGTAGAAAGTACAGGTATTTGAGTTCAACATGTAAGAAGTAGAAAGTACAGGTATTTGTGTTCAACATGTAAGAAGTAGAAAGTACAGGTATTTGAGTTCAACATGTGAGAAGTAGAAAGTACAGGTATTTGAGTTCAACATGTAAGAAGTAGAAAGTACAGGTATTTGAGTTCAACATGTAAGAAGTAGAAAGTACAGGTATTTGTGTTCAACATGTAAGAAGTAGAAAGTACAGGTATTTGAGTTCAACATGTAAGAAGTAGAAAGTACAGGTATTTGAGTTCAACATGTAAGAAGTAGAAAGTACAGGTATTTGAGTTCAACATGTAAGAAGTAGAAAGTACAGGTATTTGTGTTCAACATGTAAGAAGTAGAAAGTACAGGTATTTGTGTTCAACATGTAAGAAGTAGAAAGTACAGGTATTTGAGTTCAACATGAGAGAAGTAGAAAGTACAGGTATTTGAGTTCAACATGTAAGAAGTAGAAAGTACAGGTATTTGAGTTCAACATGTAAGAAGTAGAAAGTACAGGTATTTGAGTTCAACATGAGAGAAGTAGAAAGTACAGGTATTTGTGTTCAACATGTAAGAAGTAGAAAGTACAGGTATTTGAGTTCAACATGTAAGAAGTAGAAAGTACAGGTATTTGAGTTCAACATGTGAGAAGTAGAAAGTACAGGTATTTGAGTTCAACATGAGAGAAGTAGAAAGTACAGGTATTTGAGTTCAACATGTAAGAAGTCAAAGTAAAAGGTCGTCAGGAAAATAAGAAGTGGAGTAAAGTACTGATACCAGAAACATGTACTTAAAGGTGGGGTAGGTCATTTTGGAGAAACCAGCTCGAGTGCGCTAGAATTTGAAAATACACAGCCGGAAGAAATCTGCCACTTCCTCACAGAGCCCCTCCTCCAACACACGAACGCGCACATGACCAATGAGGGCACGAGATGAGTTTGTGCACAGATGGAAGGCTGACAGGCAGGTAGGCCATCCAGTTACTTTAGCCGGCTCAGATGATTGGTCGTGCTTTTTACAGCGCCACAGCTTCAAAGCACTTCAGATATTCATTGCTATCGGGATGTTAAGAGCATTCCATGGAATATAACAACAAGTGTTTCTGAAGTGAATTACCTACCCCACCTTTAAGTACAGTAACGAAGGAGTTGTACTCCACTACTTCCCCCCTGGTCCCTGAACGCATCGCTCACCTGGCAGCGGTCTCCTGAAGTGAACTGCATCCCGGCAGCGATGCAGTAATCCCTCTTCTGTTGAGCTGAAAACACGTTTTAATCTTTAATCATTACTGTAATTAATCAAACATTTCATAGCTTAGTCTGTGCACACTACTCTGATTATTTATTGTGCCATATTTAGCTCAACATTAGGAGGATTTTATGCTAAATATACTGTTTTATTACTTTATATGCTTCGATATCATGACCTACTGATACTGAATACAACTCAATATATTTGCAGCTCGCATTGAGTTTAATTGTTCTAGTGTGGTTTAACCTTAATTTATCTCTACTTATTTATTTCTGTATTCTGCTGCAAAGTCATAAATATTAATGTTATTATATCCGTCTTTAAAGTTCACATTTTGCACTTCAATGCAGGAGAATCTTCATTCTCAAGGAGCTTCACGTGTAAACAGAGTTATTTATGTGTTTCCAGCTGAACTTTAAGGCATAATAAAGAAGACCATTCAGTGATTGTTGAGCAGCGTTAGCACGTTAGCTCAGAGTTAGCGTGCCTCACCTCTCTTGGTCTTGTGCCAGATGTCGTAGTCTACATTCCTGAAGAGAGTGGGGTTCAGTGAACGCCTCACGCGCTCAGGCAGCTGCTGACGGCCTCGCCCACGGCCCTACACACATACACAGAGAGAGAAATAGAAACAACCAGTTATTCACCGATCTCCAGGTGTGTGTGTGTGTGTGTGTGAGTGTGTGTCTGTGTATCAATGTGTCTCTGTGCGTGTGTATCTGTGTGTGCGTATGTGTGTGTGTGTGTGTGTGTCCGTGAGTGTGTGTGTGTGTGAGTGTGTGTGTGAGAGTGTGTCTGTGTGTGTGTCAATGTGTCTCTGTGCGTGTGTATCTGTGTGTGCGTATGTGTCTCTGTGTGTGTGTATATCTGTGTGTGTGTGTGTGTCTCTGTGTGTGTATATCTGTCTGTGTGTGTGTGTGTGTGTCTCTGTGTGTGTGTGTGTGTGTGTGTGAGAGTGTGTCTGTGTATCAATGTGTCTCTGTGTGTGTGTATCTGTCTGTGTGTATCTGTCTGTGTGTTTATGTCTCTGTCTGTGTGTTTATGTGTGTGTGTGTATCTGTCTGTGTGTATCTGTCTGTGTGTGTATGTCTGTGTGTGTGTGTGTGTGTGTGTGTGTGTGTGTGTGTGTGTGTGTGTGTGTGTGTGTGTGTGTGTGTGTGTGTGTCATTTCTCACCCTGTGTCTGGGAGCCGTTGTGCTCGTTCCATTCTCTACCCTGCGTCATAAAACACACACAGATTCATAGTTTGAAAGTCCTTTCCAGACACGTCACTGCAGTCAGAGTACTAACCCACACTGTCAACATGTCCTGCATCGAAAGGTTATTCAAGTTAAATACCAGAAACATGCTCTCAAAGTATTTTACATCAAAAATATTGTGCCGTAAACTGTTCACTAAGTTCAGGGAAAAGTACAATATACTTAATACAGAAATACTAAAGTACAGTACAAGTACTTTGAATGTGTTGTTCAAAAACAATACTTGACTAAGTAAACAAGAAAATAATAATAAATAATATTAAGAACAAATTATAATACTAAATAAATAATACAAATAAATACATTATAATAACAAATAATAAATAAATAATAATGAATCAAATAAATATTTGAGTATTCCCGCTTCCTACCAGAGCTCCTCCCCGGTGTCGGGCTCCGACTCGTCGCTGCTCGCACACAGTTTAATGATGTCGTCGCTCAGAATGTCTGAAGATCTGCCGCCTCGATTACAAGACCCCAGAGAGCCTCTGTCCACATTGAACACATCGTCGTACAGGAGCTCGTACAGGATGGCTGAGGAGAGACAGAGACAGGAAGGGTCACTTTACAGACCTTTAGAGAGACCCTGAACACATCGTCATACAACACTCACACTGGCAGAGAGCAGAGTCCTTGATCTGTCTGATGGGATACACGCTGTCGTAGTGATTCCCGTTCAGGAAACACAACCGCACCTGAGAGGAGACAAAGCGCTGTGAGAGACCACGTGCAGATTCAATTCACTCCCAGACTGCTGGAGAAGATGTGGAAATGCAAATCATTATCATGTTTTCTGGGACTGAGGTCTTTTGGAGAGAGATACATAATTCCTTAAAGCAGCGGTTTTATTTAAATTAAATAAATAATATTTCACATCAAAAGAAACAACAATGTTTTCACAAATCGTATTAAATAACCTGATGACAGAACTGTGAACAGACTAGCTGAAACTTTAACAAAATAAATAACTAATCATTAACCCGTGTTTGTATAATTACATAATTACATGTCACATGTTAGACGCTTTTATCCAAAGCGACTCACATACTCAACACTGAGGGCGATTCCCACAGGAGCACTTTGGGGTGAAGTGTCTCAGGGACACAACGACATGCTGACTGCAGTGGGGTTTGAACCTGTGACCCCCTGATCCCAACACCAACTCACAACCCACTGCCCCACACGCCTAATGAAGTTAACTCCGTGTGTTGCTGCTAGCATACATAACACCTGATGTGGAAACGTTACTCGTGGATGGGGCTGCAGAGCTGCTAGAAAGACAGTGGAACCCGGTGCATTCCTCCGTCTGGACGTGGAGCACTTTTGATAAATGTTTAGACAAATTGCTCGTGTTACCGCCCTCACATGCTAAACTCTTATTGCACTTTAGGTAACGGGCATCGAGACGGGTAAAGTTGAACCACATCGGAGCGCTTCTCTCCGCCATCTCCGCAGTGTGTGTACTGCCCCGCCCCCTCGCACACAGACGGGGGAGAGAGAGAGAGATCTCGTCTGGATTAGAAAGATCGAAAATACATCATAGACGCATTTTTTTTCAATACATAACATATATTTTTTAAATGTCTCCAGTACCGATAAAAAGACCAATAACGTTGGAGCTTAACGGCGCGTAACTCACACGTGATGACGTCACCAACGAATCGACGACTGAATTAGTTGGCAACTAATTTAGTCATCGATTTTAATCAATTAAGTCGATTAGTTATCGCACCCCTAATCCGCTCGTTGTAGCCCCGTGTTTAAAGATTTGGGTACGGAGGAAAAGAGAGAGGGTTTTATTTTCTGAAGCTGCGTGAGTTCCCCGACGCACCGGGGACACATTGATGTAGAAAAGACATCAACAAGTGCATTTTGCATGATAGGTCCCCTTTAAATGTTGTTACTATGTCTTGAAAAAACACTGTAATGTTTTGCTGCCAAATGTCAATAGAAAATATATTACAAAAAAGAAATAATGTGTATTTTTTGGATATTCTCACCTTGTCCTTGAAGTTGTTGTCTGTGATGTTGACCGCCTGTTTGCCCGGCTCCTGGAAGATCATAAAATCTCTCCTGCAGAACACAGAGACACAAATATACAGAAAGAGGGAGGCTGGTTTGAAACAGGCAGAAATATAAAGAAAATGATTGAATGTAGATCCACTGGCTGTAAAACTATTTTTCTTATTGGAGATGTAAAGAAAGAATAGCTTGAAATTCTAAATAATCCTCGTTTAATGTTAACTAACCGATCTGCTTATATTTGGAATATTTGGAAACACATCAAACAACAGTATTTCTAAATGTGTGTGGACAGTTGAGACGAGTCTTACTTGTACATGACAGCCAGAGCGTTGATCTCCACCTCGCCCACCCATTGCTGGAAGACACAACAATGGAAATTACAAAATAATCTTCTGAAATATAGAAAGAAATAAAAAAGGTATTTCTGAGTTACCTGTGGGTCCTGAAGCTTGAAGAGGTATTCCTCAAAGTCTCCTTCAATGAACTGCAACACAGGAGTTTTATTTTGAAATCCTTAAATACAGACATTTTAACAGAAATTCCACTTTTATTTTTGTCTTATTTAAATGTATTTTATTCTTTCTACTTGTGACCTTTTTTATTTGAAACGTCGTTTTGTAATCAACCTTTGTCTGCCTCTGTGTCTCTGTGAAATGTGTCAGAATCAGTTTGCCTGTGAGTTACAGGGAGCAGCAAAGCATTCTGGGTAATGTAGGCGAGGCGGTTATAGCAGCTTTTAGTTTCAGTTCCCGATCAAACTGAGTTGTGAAACAGAAACAGGAGGAAAAGTCGCTCACCTGATTATTTAGGATTCTTAGGTTCATATTTATTTAAACAAATCAATTAAAGTGTCATTTTATTCTAATGTTCTCTTGTTTAAGGGAAGCTGGTAATACTACTAATAATAATACTTATTTTCTATTTTTTTTAATATAATACTTATTTTTTTAAACAATAATTATTTACCGAAGCATTTAAAAGAAGATATTTACCAAATACAGTTTCTTTTAAATCATTTTAAATAAATGTACAGTAGCTCAGTATTTGTTCCTTTTAGAGTCATTTAAATACATGATGTGTTAAATAAGAATATGCATATTATCAAATCCAAAGCGACAACTTTGTAATGCTCTGAAGATTTGCAATAAATAACAACTTAATATGTTTTTCATTTAATTTAGAAACTGTTAAAAGGCCGAAGCTCTGTGATCAAATCCTTATCACACACACACACACACACACACACACACACACACACACACACACACACACACACACACACACACACACACACACACACACACACACACACACACACACACACACACACACACACACACACACACACACACACACACACACACACACACACACACACACACACACACACACACACACACACACACACACACACACACACACACACACACTTTAGATTATTACTCACGGCCTCGTAGCTCTCTCTGTTTTCCTTCAGGAACTCAACACACTTCGCCCGGACTTTAGTGTGAAGACTTTGGCAATGAAGCACCTAAACAAGTCAACAACAACAACAACAATGCAAACAATCAACAACACAGTGTTCTCAAAGCTGGTGAAGGTGCAGCTAGTCTGAAGTACTTTGTATTCTGCAGGGTAGCTGGTGGATTTACTCCAGGTGGAACTAAAGTCTGATTCAACACTTGATTATATTTACCATCATTCATCTGAGAAGAAACTAAAGGTATTAAATATATGTAGTGGAGTAAAAGTACACAGTAGCATAACATGGAAATACTCAAGTAAAGTACCTTAATTACAGTACTTGAGTAAATGTACTTAGTTACTTTACACTACTGCAAATAGTATAGAGAAATATAATGTTTTCATAACTATTTTCTGGAACTTCTTCACCATTAATCCACTTTACCTGCGTTACATTCAGAACTGCATTAACACAAGTTACAGATTCAGGTTTAAAGTTAATCAAAGTGAACTGTAAGCTTGTAAACTCTGCTGGTTGTCTTCATCCAGCTGCATTACAGACACATTTCCAGCCTGCTTTTAACCACAACAAACACACGCAGCCCAGTTGTTGTGTACCAGTTAGTGCTAAAGTGAAGCTAACATAAACTAGCCTCTTCTCCGGGTTTTACCCCCTCACCTGCTCGGCGACAGCCCGAAACAAACACGACCCGTCCTTGGCGATTTTCTTCCGATGCAGACCGATAGACTTCAGATAATCATCCATTAGTTTCTCTGCTCCTTTTTCCTCGTTGCTCTTCATGCTTCCTTCCATGCTAGCGGTTAGCCGCTAAAGCTAGCTGGCGGAATAACGCGTTTAAACAGCTAAATCTTAACGGTTAAAAGTTGTCAATATAAGCAGAAAATGAGTGTTAAATATCTACATCTGCGGTCTTACGAAGGACGAAGACGACTGAGGCGGATATTAGTTTCGATTTCCAGGAAGCCCTCTCATCATGGAGCGGGTTTACTGCCGTCCGTCAGAAAGTGAAAGTAGTGGAGTTAGCTCACATGCTAACACAAGCTCACAGGCTAACAACACACCCCCTCCTTCTTCTACGGAGTCAAGTTGGACAGAGCGCGCCAGAGCACTTCCGGTTTTTAACAAAGTAAGCCCAAATAAAATAAGAATGATTAACCAGTGGCAAAATAAATGTTATTGAATTAAAAGTATAATATTGGCTTTCTAAATGTAATAGAGTATAAGTTAGCAAACAATACAAATACACCATTTTATAAAGCACAAATACCTCAACATTGTTTTAAATAGCATTTTGCCACGTTTTTCAAAATAAAAGTCCCCCTGTCATACAGACACCGGGACTGACTACCAAAATAAAAGCTTGCACATTTCACAGACGATCATTAGAATAAAGAAGAGCTTATAATAGGAGCCGAGCCCATCTTGATTAAAACCACTCTTCACTGTGTGTGTTTTACTAGGTGTAAAGGTGGTGAATGTACACACTGTCACGTGATCCCAAGCCCCCACGTGGTCGATCAGAGGGGAAAAACATCAAGCTGAACAACGTGACCGGAAGCTGTTACGAAATCAAAGGAAAATGCTGCAGAAGAAGAGAAAGAGCGGGAAAATACAGATAGTAGTGTGCTACTTAGGTCATTATAATCGATAATACAGGTCTGTAGAAACATGTAACAATCTAAAAACTGTATACAAGTCAACATTTAAAAAGAGTAAAACACTTTCTACTTTGTATTTAACTTGTAGGTCAATGCAGGAATGAATCCAATGTATACACATATTTAAATATACAGTTTAAACATGTATGCTTGCACGTAATGGCATTGTAAATATGACCAAAACAGTCAGAAGAAAACAATACATTAAATAGAAAATAACCCAAAAACGGACCATAAAAAAGCAGAAAAACACATTTTCTGACCCCTTCTTCACCTGACAACATGAATTATTACTATAGCTATATTTGTTTGTTTGGGGTTGGATTATTTTTCTACTCATACGTTAGTCTTTTCTACTCCTTTTGTTGTTTATCTAAATAATGTAAGCACGGTTTCCTTTGTTTGTTGTTTATTTTCTCCGTAAGGGTGGATGAGCACGTTGTTTGTTACACATTTTGATCAATAAAGTACATCTTATCTTATCTTGTACAACGATAGAAAGTGACCGCCTCACAGTTGGTGTTGTGCCTCCACCTGTCAGGACGCATGTTTACTGAACATGTTCTCCGACCTTTGACCACACCTCCCTTTCACCTTTCAGTTTATCTTTGAAACCTCGTGGACGTTTGAGACACATTTGAAAGCCTTTCCTCAGACCGTCTCCTCCCTTTTCTCTTCCTCCTGAGGCTGATCTCCTCTCTCTCCTCCTCTTCCTCCTGAGGCTGATCTCCTCTCTCTCCTCTCTCTCCTCTCTCTCCTCCCTCTCTTCTCTCTCCTCACACTCAGCAGATATTGATTTTCCGTCTGCAGAGAGGAGAGCCTGAGAGAGCGGTTGGGTGTTGGCTGACAGTCTGTGAGTTCAACCCTCTGGAGGAGAAAGAAACCCCGGCTGGAGGGACATTTGGGTTTCAAACGTCAACAACAACAACATTTCAATGTGGTAAGGGTGGGAGAGGGGTCGTCTTTCAACCAGCAGGTTGTTGGTTCGATCCCAGACGTTATGAGATATAAACGTATAAGCTTTAAAGGTCTCCTCAGTGCTTGAATTGGAATGAAAAAGGTGCCAGTACTCTAAAATCAGCAACTTTTTCAAGTCAATTTTATATATACAGCCCACAAACAAGAATTTGGCTACTATAATGCTGGTGGGTTTGTCTCTTTACTACTGTATATTTTAGAAAGGTTCACTGTACTTAACATTTTTTATGATAGGCAGCGGATATGGCTAAAGCTCAGTAAGGTCAATATTAACTGAAAATATAGCAATCAAAGTCTAGATCTTCTGCTGAAGACACATGAAGCAGAGACCTTTCAGGTGAGAGCCCCTCTGGTGGTGTTCAACATTAATGACAACGAAACAAAGCTCTGGTCAGAAGCATTTTTTATAAAAAGCTTTAACAAAATTAAGTATTTCTGTACATTTTGAATGCAATCTAACTTTCCAACTCAGAAAACGAAAAACGAAAAAGTGCCAAAAGTCTTCTCACATGGCTGAGCTGCTTTGCAATATACTTCACCACTGAAGAATACAAATATGTATAAAGTAAACTATGATGCAATCTAACTTTCCAACTCAGAAAAATGATAAAGAGCATGAACAAAGAACATGTAAAAACAAATGCAAAATTTGCACAATCTAAAATGAGAAACTGTAACTGTAACAAAGTCTGAGCCATGGTAAAGAGTTACATTGAAAACCAAGCTGATCAGATAACTCCCTGGTTGGTCTGAAGTCCTTCTATCTCCAGGATCTGTACAAATCGGCACATTATGCCAAAAGTCTTCTCACTGGGTGAGCTGCTTTGCAATATACTTCACATTGTTAGAAAAGGCTCCAGAAGGCCTTGGGGACATCAGTATCAGGGGCTGGAGCTGGACAGGCTCTTTCATCAGCACTTCTCCTTCCCTTTGCCAGCCAGGACCTCACATACTGTTCCGGATTGAACTGTCCTAGTGATGGTCCATTACATTTAATGAAAACCAGGCTGGACAGTCGGCTGATAGAGAGAGCATTCCTTTTTGCAGTAAGGATATCGTTCATGCAGCTGAATGCCCGCTCACACTCACTAGTGGAGACAGCGATGGTTCGGACTGCTTTCAGTAGAGGCTCCATGGCAGCAGGTGTACGGGATGCCCTGGTTTCCTTGTATTCGCGAAAGCCCCTGAACAGTCTCTCTTCTGTCCACTTTCAGCACTTCGCACAAACGTAGCACCTCTACGTCCCCATACTGTACGTCTAACTCCTCTTCAGGCCAACTTCCAGGATGGATAACTTTCATGTCCTGGATTAGCTGATTGTCCCGGGCCTCCCGGCCATGTAATGGGATTTCTCTTGTGCTGACATGAGAGGAGGTTGTGGAAGTCATTCTGTGTCTCAGATTCTCTACCATACTGCGGAAAAACTGACCTGCATGAATCTGTACAAGCCTGCCATTCTCACGCAGGGCAACACCCTTGAAGGACTTCTCAGCTAGAGCTGTATGAACTGTAGTCATGTGTGGGCCAGGCATGGTGACCATGGATTCAAAAACTCGTATTTCTCGAGTTAAGAGCCTATCTGCTGTAGGCAGTGTCATCTCTCTTTTTTGGAGTTGCCGAGAGAGGTCGCTGAGCTCTGTGAGCGCATCGTACATCAGTCCCAGATTGCTGACAAACGTTGCAGATGTGAGCACATCATCCAGGCCCTTGTACTTTGCTCTGTCTCTGGAATCCCTGCTCGTGTCGTTTGCAGCATTTGTGAAGTGATCATGAAGCACTCGGTAGTTTTCCCAGACTGCTCTGACGCTCCTTTCACTTGAAGCCACCCAGCGGATGGACAAAAACACGCCCTATCACCAGGAGACGCTGTCCGACTGCTTGCGCACACTGCGCTAACTGCCTCTGATTTTTGGGGGAGGCATGGAACAAGGAATAGAGTTTGTCAAAAAAGATCTGGAAATGATTGAGCCCTGAGACCTCCTTGACCACATCCCCAACTGCCAGCTCTAGACGATGATTGGAGCAGTGCCACACAAACAGGCTTGGGAATTTACTACACAACTGGGTAGCAACGCCTGTTCTCTTCCCTAGCATGACTGAAGCCCCATCACATGCAAAAGAAACGAAACACTGACCTAAAAAGTCCTCGTTAAAATCTCTTCCAAGACACTCCATTAACGCCTTTGTGATGTCATCAGCCGTTGTTCCATCCAACTCGATCAGCTCCCAAAAAAAACGTTTCGGGCTCAGCATCAGCTAATGCTGAGCGTAGACACACAACAAGCACCGTTTTACCACTAATAGTGGTAGATTCATCGACCAAAACACAGAGTTTTCTTTGGTTTTCTGTAATGTCTTTTGCCATTTTTTTCTTCAGCTCATGAGCTATGTGGTCGATGATTTCGCCACAGGTTTTATTGGAGTGCAAAACCCTGCCCACGTTCAGCCCATTCAGTTTCTGTACATTCAAATCAATTGGCATGTCTGTGAATGGCCGGCTATGTTTGCCAATTGTATATGCCGTTCGAAAAACTCTGATAGTGGTGTCTAATTCAGATTTATGCATAGACAGCACTTGATGTTGAATAGTTTCACGTGAAGCAGATGTAAGGATGTCAGCAGCTTTTACATGGGCTTGTGATTCTTTATGTTCTTTGATTTTTTTTCTCAGGCTAGCTTGTTGTTTGCCCTTGTCAACACCGAAATGAGACACTGCACACTCACCCCATTCAGTTGACAGTTTCAGGTCCTTGTCCAGTGTGTATTCCCAAAGATTTGACATCTCTGCATATCCGACATCCTAGCTTCTTATCTTTAAGAAGGAGCCATGCATTGGTCTTGCAAAAATATTGCACCTGGTCCGTTGTCCAGCAGTCAGGTGCATCGCTTTGCCCGGTGTTGGTGGTGGCAGTTGCGCCAGCAGCAGCTAACGTTAGAGGCTCTGGAGGAGGCGGCGGAGCTAGTGCTAATGCACTAGAACTTGGAGCAGGAGGATCAACCAAAGAAAGCTCCCCATCAGACACAATTTCCAACACAGGCACAGCATTCTCTGTATTTGAAGTTTCTTCCGGCGACAACCGCTGTCTTTTTGCACTTTTATTAATCCACGCTAACATTTTAGAAATGCTAATTTGTGACGTGACTTGCTTTCCTTCTCTCGGGGGCGTGCCTGCTCTGTTCTATCACTCTACATAGCCACCCACTGGGTGGGAGTTGCACTGCATAAACACAATACACGTGCATCTAGGTATGTAAATTGTAAAGCATTAAAACATGGTTTTACTAACAGTTTTCAGTATGTTGTTACTTCGGCATTATTATTATTATTATTATTATTTTGAAACGTGTATTACTATTAAATCACGGTCAAATAGGTTAATTTTGACATAGTCGTTTCCACCACAGTATTTACATGGAGAAGATAAGCCCCGCCCCCTCTCCAGC